TGAGAACATGGTCGACGATAATCAAGGTATTTTAAGCCTAATAGTGGCAAGGAAGCAATTATCATTTTATGTTCATATCACGATGACTTTGAATTAGCTTTCCAACATGCAAAAGAGATGGCTACTAAGGAGATACCTTCACCTATCTACCATTCATTCAACAATACATATACCACAGTTATCACTACCAATCTTTAGTGGAGATCCAAAACTGTGGTTTGAATTCTGGAGTAGCTTTAATGCAGCTGTACATCTCCAGGAAATTTCAAATATTCAAAAGCTCACTTATTTTGTTTCATGTTTAAAAGGAGAGGCATTGGAAGCATGGGAATAACTATTGAGAATAGATCGTCATCATGGATCTTAAATAAAGTCTATCAATTAAAAGCAGAGAAAGAAACTTGGACAGTAGGCAACCTTCGACAGTTTCTAATGAAACTATAGTCCAGAGAAATGAAGAGGTAAATATGAACCAGAAACTCCGTCAGGAACAAACTCAAAAGGGGCATCTCACTTCAATAAGAAAGAAGAGACCTCGCCTTATTCATAACAAAATAATTCAAATCAACTAAAACTTTCAATCAAATAATGACTCAAAGATTAGCAAGGGAAGAGCACTTTTCATATTTTGCAACAGAAACCATTGGGACAACGAATGCCCCATTACTTTACGGTCAAGCAACGACTCGGACGCCTGAAAAAGATCAAGGCATGCACTAACTGCTTCCGGACGGAGCATGCAACATACACTTGCAGTCGATTTGAAGCTTTTCTCCTTTGGCAATGAAATTCCAGAATCCTATCAAACTACAAAAGTAGAACTGGGGATAAAAACGTCAGAATCTGAAATTATAACTATTGACGCCTATGCATTAAATTATTTGACTGGTAAACTGCAAGTTATCAAGTCAAACCCGTACAATTTGACCAGGGCCATAAGCCAAAAGCAATTGGATGAGTCAAGAGGATACTGGAGACGTCCAGATATGCTTATTTGGCCGACTACTTTGAATTTATGTCTCCGTACAAATTTCGTAATATCGCATTCTAATCAAACTGATAGTGATTCTGACAAAATTAATTCGATCAATGTAAACACTGTTACAACAAATCCAGAAATTGATTAGTTTTGGAAACAAGAATTAATAGGAATCCAAGAGCAACTAAATGCGCAAGACGATGAAAAGGCTCTAAATCTGTTCAAACAAAGCATCACTAAGGAAAATAATAAAGATACAAAAGTCAACTTATCTTGGACGATTGAAAACATTATTTAGGCGACTTCAACACGAGAAACAAGTACTCCGTCGATATGATGAAATAATCAAAGAACAACGTTAAACTGTGGAATGTAACTCCACACGCTGATACGTTTGTGCTACATTCAACAATGGTTGAATTCTGCTTCAATAAAAAGTTTCGTTAAAGAATAAAAGGAAACGTCTACAATATCTGGGATTCCCCTGCCGTCTCCGATCCAAGTACTAACCAGGCCCAGCCTTGCTTAACTTGACGGATCGGACGAGATATCGTGCTTTCAACGTGGCATGGCCGCGGACGTCTCACTGCAATAACGAATATGTCAAATTTCATCTTACATTTCCTTGCGGAATTAATTTGTTGTCCCGCCTAGGAGGAGAACGTTCCAAAGTTTTACTTCAAGCCACAGCAGCCGAAACTCTAAGCCGAATTCAATTACCTCAAACTTGGGTAATTAAACCGTGTAATGCAACTCCAACATACGTTTGTACTGTCGCGAAAGTTGCAAAATTCCAAGAATATTATAAATGGCTAAATATATGAACATATATATATATATATATATATATGTTCATATATTTAGCCATTTATAATATTCTTGGAATTTTGCAACTTTCGCGACAGTACAAACGTATGTTGGAGTTGCATTACACGGTTTAATTACCCAAGTTTGAGGTAATTGAATTCGGCTTAGAGTTTCGGCTGCTGTGGCTTGAAGTAAAACTTTGGAACGTTCTCCTCCTAGGCGGGACAACAAATTAATTCCGCAAGGAAATGTAAGATGAAATTTGACATATTCGTTATTGCAGTGAGACGTCCGCGGCCATGCCACGTTGAAAGCACGATATCTCGTCCGATCCGTCAAGTTAAGCAAGGCTGGGCCTGGTTAGTACTTGGATCGGAGACGGCAGGGGAATCCCAGATATTGTAGACGTTTCCTTTTATTCTTTAACGAAACTTTTTATTGAAGCAGAATTCAACCATTGTTGAATGTAGCACAAACGTATCAGCGTGTGGAGTTACATTCCACAGTTTAACGTTGTTCTTTGATTATTTCATCATATCGACGGAGTACTTGTTTCTCGTGTTGAAGTCGCCTAAATAATGTTTTCAATCGTCCAAGATAAGTTGACTTTTGTATCTTTATTATTTTCCTTAGTGATGCTTTGTTTGAACAGATTTAGAGCCTTTTCATCGTCTTGCGCATTTAGTTGCTCTTGGATTCCTATTAATTCTTGTTTCCAAAACTAATCAATTTCTGGATTTGTTGTAACAGTGTTTACATTGATCGAATTAATTTTGTCAGAATCACTATCAGTTTGATTAGAATGCGATATTACGAAATTTGTACGGAGACATAAATTCAAAGTAGTCGGCCAAATAAGCATATCTGGACGTCTCCAGTATCCTCTTGACTCATCCAATTGCTTTTGGCTTATGGCCCTGGTCAAATTGTACGGGTTTGACTTGATAACTTGCAGTTTACCAGTCAAATAATTTAATGCATAGGCGTCAATAGTTATAATTTCAGATTCTGACGTTTTTATCCCCAGTTCTACTTTTGTAGTTTGATAGGATTCTGGAATTTCATTGCCAAAGGAGAAAAGCTTCAAATCGACTGCAAGTGTATGTTGCATGCTCCGTCCGGAAGCAGTTAGTGCATGCCTTGATCTTTTTCAGGCGTCCGAGTCGTTGCTTGACCGTAAAGTAATGGGGCATTCGTTGTCCCAATGGTTTCTGTTGCAAAATATGAAAAGTGCTCTTCCCTTGCTAATCTTTGAGTCATTATTTGATTGAAAGTTTTAGTTGATTTGAATTATTTTGTTATGAATAAGGCGAGGTCTCTTCTTTCTTATTGAAGTGAGATGCCCCTTTTGAGTTTGTTCCTGACGGAGTTTCTGGTTCATATTTACCTCTTCATTTCTCTGGACTATAGTTTCATTAGAAACTGTCGAAGGTTGCCTACTGTCCAAGTTTCTTTCTCTGCTTTTAATTGATAGACTTTATTTAAGATCCATGATGACGATCTATTCTCAATAGTTATTCCCATGCTTCCAATGCCTCTCCTTTTAAACATGAAACAAAATAAGTGAGCTTTTGAATATTTGAAATTTCCTGGAGATGTACAGCTGCATTAAAGCTACTCCAGAATTCAAACCACAGTTTTGGATCTCCACTAAAGATTGGTAGTGATAACTGTGGTATATGTATTGTTGAATGAATGGTAGATAGGTGAAGGTATCTCCTTAGTAGCCATCTCTTTTGCATGTTGGAAAGCTAATTCAAAGTCATCGTGATATGAACATAAAATGATAATTGCTTCCTTGCCACTATTAGGCTTAAAATACCTTGATTATCGTCGACCATGTTCTCACACTTCTCTTCTTCCTCTTTTTTCTTCGCTGCTGTTGTAGTTTATTGTATGAGGTCTAACCATTTTTGGTTGATTGTTTCTAATATATCAACGTATATTTCGAATCGTTTAATTTTATCCTTGACAACTAGTTTTTTCATTCCATATTGCTATTTCTGTTCTTTCAGTGGTTGATTTCGATCCGGTGGTGTTAAGTCGAATTTTTTGATGCCTTCAAGGAATTCAATTACCCTCTCGATTGTTAACTGGGCGACTTGTATAATGAAGTCGACATTGTACCTCCCGG